ATCTACCTATGCAAGTCTGGCTCAATATTTCAAAATCAAATAACGTAATTCAACAAGCTAGAAAAAAAATCATAGGATCATATCAATAGATGCAAAAAAAGCAAGTAACAAAATCCAGGAGCCATTCAAGGTAAAAACCTCAGTGAACTAGGCATAAAGGAAATACATCTTCAGTTTAATAAAGAACATCTACAAATAACCCATAGCTAACATCGTACTTCACGGTGAGACAATAGATGGCTTCCTACTAAGATCAAGAATAAGACAGTAAGGTAGATAGCTAGTGGGAAGTAGCCGCATGGCACAGGGATATCGGCTCGGTGTTTTGTAACCGCCTGGAGGGGTGGGATAGGGAGGCTGGGAGGGTGGGAGACGCAAGAGGGAAGAGATATGGGAACATATGTATATGTATAACTGATTCACTTTGTTATAAAGCAGAAACTAACACACCATTGTAAAGCAATTATACCCCAATAAAGATGTTAAAAAAAAAAAAGAATAAGACAATGATGTCACCTCTCATCATTCCTATTCAACATCATATTAGAAGTCCTAGCTAATACAATAAGGCAAGAAAAGAAAATAGAAGCTATACAAGAAGAAATTTTTTAAAAAGACAGCTGTATTTTTCACAGATGACATTACTGTCTATGAAGAAAATCTCAAAGAATCAAAAAAAACCTGCTAAAATGAGTGATTATAGCAAGGTTGCAGATTACAACATTAATATACAAAAGTCAATTGTTTTCTTACATATTAGTAATGAGTAATTGGTATTTGAAATTAAAATCACAATACCATTTACATTAACACAAAAAAATGAAATACTCAGGTATAAACTGCACAAAATATGTATAAGATCTATAAGAATAAAACTGCAAAACTCTGATGAAGACATCAAGGAATATCTAAATAAATGGAGAGATATTCCATGTACATGGATAGGAAGATTCAATATTGTCAAAATATCACCTCCTCCTAACTTGATAGATTTCAATACAATCTCAATCAAAATTCCAGAATGTTACTTTGTAGATATTTACAGATTGATTTTAGAATTTATATAAAGAGGTAAAAGACCCAGAACAGCCAACATGATATTGAAGGAAAAGAACGAAATTGGAAGATTGACACTACTAGACCTCAAGACTTACTATAAAGCTCCAATAATCAAGACAGTGTGGGACTTCCCTGGTGGTACAGTGGTTAAGAATCCACCTGCCAATGAAGGGGACATGGGTTAGAGCCCTGGTCCAGGAAGATGCCACATGCCACGGAGCAACTAAGCCAGTGCACCACAACTACTCAGCCTGCACTCTAGAGCTCGCGAGCCACAACTACTGAGCCTGCGTGCTACAACTACTGAAGCCTGCATGCCTAGAGCCCGTGCTCTGCAACAAGAAAAGCCACTGCAATGAGAAGACTGCGCACCTCAATGAAGAGTAGCCCCTGCTTGCTGCAACTAGAGAAAGCCCATGTGCAGCAAAGAAGACCCAATGCAGCCAAAAATAAATAAATGAAAAATAAATAAATTTAAAAAAAAGACAGTATGGTATTTGTGAAAGAACTGACCAATAGATCAATGAAGCAGAACGGTGAGCCCAGAAATAGACTTACACAAGTACAGCTAACTGATCTTTAACATGGAATAAGGGTAATTCAATGTAGATAGTCTTTTCAAAAAATGATGCTGAAACAGATGGATATCTACATGTAAAAAAAAATTTAAATAAATCTAGACACAGATCTTATACCCTCACAAATATTAACTCAAAATGGAGCATAGATCTAAATGTAAAACACAAAATAATCAAACAGCTAGAAGAAGAATAAGAGAAAATATTAGTGATCTTGGGTTTTGCAATATTTTTAGATATAACACCAAAAGCACAATTGCATGGAAAAAATTGATAAGTTGAACTTGATTAAAATTAAAAACTTCTGCTCTATGACACAGTTAAGAAAATCAAAAGACAAGCCAAAATTGAGAGAAAAGAATTGCAAAAGACATCATATGTGATAAATGACTGGTACCCAAAGTATATAAAGAACTTTTGAAACTCAACAATAAGAAAATGAACAACCCAATTTAAAAAATGGGCAAAAGACCTGAATAGATACCTCATCAAAGAAAGTATATAAATGGAAAATATGTCACAGGGAATTGAAATTAAAACAACAAGATACCATCACATATCTTTAACACACTAGAAATCAAAACACTGACAACACCAAATCCTGGCAATGATGTGGAACATCAGGAACTCTTATTCTTTGCTGGCAGGAAAACAAAATGGCACAGTCACTGTGGAAGACAGTGTGGCAGCTTCTTATAAGACTAAACATACTTTTACCAGGCAATCCAGCAATTGTGCTTTGTGGTATTTACCCAAATAAGTAAAAACTTTATGTCCACACAAAACCTCTACACAAATGTTTACAGTAGCTTTATTCATAGTTGCCAAAACTTAGAAGCAAGCGAGATTTCCTTCAATGGGTGAATGGATAAACAAACTATGTTATATACATACAATGGAATATTACTCAGTGATAAAAAGAAATGAGCTATCAAGCCATGAAAAGACATGAAGGAAACTTAAATGTATATTATGAACTCAATGAAGCCAATCTGAAAAGGCTACAAAACTGTATGATTCCAACTATATGACATTCTGGAAAAGGCAAAGCTATGGAGACAGTAAAAAGATCAGTGGTTGCCAGGGGTTTAGCAGGTAGGAAGGGATAAATAGGCAGAGTGCAGATGATATTTAAGGCAGGGAAATTATTCTGTATGCTACTGTAATGGCGGGTATATGTCATTATACGTTTTTTAAAACTTATAGAATATAAAACACAAAGAGTGAACACTAACGTAAACTGAGGAATTTAGTAAATAATAATATAATAATATTGGCTCATCAATTGTAACAAACAATTGTACTACACTGATGCATGATGAAAATAACAGGGGAAACGGCTGGGGAGCTATAAAGTACATGCGAGTACATGGGAACTCTATGTACTTTCAACTTTTCTGTAAACCTAAAACTGATCTAAAAAATAAAGTCTGTTAATTAATCAAACTAATAGGCCCTTAAACAGTACTTTCATTATCTTACTCACTTGTTAAAATGTATCATATTTATACTCTGTCTGACTTTCAAGGATTTTGTAATCTTCCATTTTATCAGTTCAGCATTATTTTAATTATTTCTAAGAGATATCCTCCATTGTAAGAATTTAGAATAGATGCCTCATGTCCCCCATAAATAAATCATATTCATCCTGAATATATTCTTTCATTGTTGCTTTTTTTTCTTTGAAATTCGTTCATCTCCCTTCTGCTGATCTAATGATCCTACACCTTAAGATTATTCTCTGCCATAAAAACATCCCCAAAGACACTAGCTTTTAGTAACCTTCTTCTCTCATTATAATTATAGTTTATACCACAAAATAAACGGCTACACTATATCTTCTACAGGGCTGCTGTGGTCCTCATAGGTAACAGTGCTCTCAACTAAATGGTAAGTTTATTATGATGTATATTGCAGAGTGGCAGAATCTGCCATCCCCTAACATGTCACTTTGGAAGAATTATCTTGAGCTAAGGGCACGTGAAAAACAGCAGGTACAAGAAGAGTGCTCTGACTTCCCCTTTTCCTCCTGAAAGCAGGAATAAAACTCTCATGTGAAAGATGCTCTCCCTACACCAGGAAGAAAAAAACATTCTTATCACCAGAAGTAGAGGCTGAGAGAAATCTGTACAAACAGACCTTGTTAAAAGAACTCATCTTCTTTACCTCCCCACATATTTTAGTTACACTTCCACAGCTGCCTCTCTTTGTTCAATCAAGTATAAAAACATTTAGGTTTCACCACTTCTTTGGGTCTTCACTTCCTTATGAAGGCTCCCATGTCACATAAATCCTGCATTAAATAAATGGGTACCCTTTCATCCTGTTAATCTGCCTTATGTCAATTTAATTTTAAGGCCCAACCAAAGATACTACGAGGGCAGAGCTAAACTTTTACTTCCCCTACAATATCTCTTAAGTTTTACCCACAGCATTTTAGGAATTAACAGAAGCTTATTAATGGACTGAGTCCTAGGATATTATTTCAGCTTTTCTGGTAATCCAAGAATACTTGTATAATAATGATTGTATCCCCAAGAACAAAGAGAAAATGACACGCTAAGATCAGGAAACGCCCTTGAAAACTCAAGACATTAAATGTTTAAAGGTTTCTTAAGTTACCTATCAGACTTACACCTTGCAAGAGTAGCCAAACATTGAAAATGTAATACATATAATACTGATAAAAAAGATATCAGTAACTCCTATAAAAATATCACATGATCTGAGGCATTGATATTTTTAAAAAAAACCAAAAAACTAAAACACTAACATACTTTGGGAAGGCAGAAAGGCTCCAATGGCATTAATGACATTACTAAAGTTCATACAGTCATGCAATATGTAACATCTAGTGTTACATGCCATAGGTGACACATCTGGTTTCTTGATCATAAGTATCAGTACCCCCATGAGCTATCTGTATTCAAAGTCAAGGTAAGAACCTTTACACTGACATGGGGTAAATTTAATCTACTGCTTAGAATCCCTACTTGCTGCACAACAATTTCAATAGGTTGATAAGTGTGCGAGAATGATTGGTATTAATATTCCAAAGCATTTGCCATAAGCTGGGCTAAAGTAAACAGGGTGGAAAGGAAAAATTCTGAAACATGAGAGAATATTATCAAAATATTAGACATAGTTAGAGACTACTGGGAAATTAAGTATTCAGAAATGGCATAGTCAGGAGTATCATTCCCAAGCCTGAGAAGCTCCTATACACATCAGTCTTTTCAATCATATAAAGATGGCAACTTTCAATGTATTGCTATAAACATTAATAATAGCAAATTTTCACACAAGGCATTATTAATATCAACTTTAATTTAGGTTGGCTTAAATTTTTAATGAGAAACTTACCTTACAGAACTTGACTTCTGCCTCTAAATGATGAATGTATTGAGACTGGTCACTGATGATGGGAACAAAATTGTGTAGAGCAGGCATATCAGTTTCCTCATATTCTGATGATTTCTAAGGCAAAAATGAAAACAAATGAAGCATGTTTGGATTTAGCAAAGAATCAGTTAATACCATCTCCATACTCAATTTAGCACTGATGTCATATAAACATGGTATAAACATAGACTAGGGAGATTGCTTCAAGATGGCAGAGTAGAAGGACGTGCACTCACTCCCTCTTGCAAGAGCACTGGAATCACAACTAACTGCTGAAAAATCATCGACAGGAAGACACTAGAACTCACCAAAAAAGATACTCCACATCCAAAGACAAAGGAGAAGCTGCAATGAGACAGTAGGAGGGGCGCAATCACAATAATACCAAATCCCATAACCGTGGGGTGGGTGACTCACAAACGGGAGAACAATTATACTACAGAAGTCCATCCACTGGAGTGAAGGTTCTGAGCCCTACGTCAGGCTTCCCAACCTGGGGTTCCAGCAACCGGAGGAGGAATTCCCAGAGATCCAGACTTTCAAGGCTAGCAGGATTTGACTGCAGGACTTCGACAGGACTGGGGAAACAGAGAATACACTCTTGGAGGGCACACACAAAGTAGTGTGCATCAGAATCCAGGGGTAGGAGCAGTGACCCCACAGGAGACTGAACCAGACCTACCTGCTAGTGTTGCAGGGTCTCCTGCAGAGGCGGGGGGTGGCTGTGGCTCACCATGGGGACAATGACACTGGCAGCAGAAGTTCTGGGAAGTACTCCTTGGCATGAGCCCTCCCAGAGTCTGCCATTAGCCCCACCAAAGAGCCTGTAGCCCCCACTGCTGGGTCGCCTCAGGCCAAACAACCAACAGGGAGGGAACTCAGACCCACCCATCAGCAGACAAGCAGATTAAAGTTTTACTGAGCTCTGCCCACCAGAGCAACACCCAGTTCCACCCACCACCAGTCCCTCCCATCAGGAAGCCTGCACAAGCCTCTTAGATAGACTCATCCACCAGAGGGCAGACAGCAGAAGCAAGAAGAACTACAATCCTGCAGCCTGTGGAATGAAAACCACATTCACAGATAGACAAAATGAAAAGGCAGAGGACTATGTACCAGATGAAGGAACAAGATAAAATCCCAGAAAAACAACTAAATGAAGTGGAAATAGGCAACCTTCCAGAAAAAGAATTCAGAATAATCATAGTGAAGGTGATCCAGGACATCAGAAAAAGAATGGAGGCAAAGATCAAGAAGATGCAAGAAATGTTTAACAAAGACCTATAAGAATTAAAGGACAAACATCTAGAAGAATTAAACAACAAAAAACAGAGATGAATAACACAATAACTGAGAAGAAAAACACACTAGAAGGAATCAATTGAAGGATAACTGAGACAGAAGAACAGATAAGTGACCTGGAAGACAATGATGGAATTCACTGCTGTTGAACAGAATAAAGAAAAAAGAATAAAAAGAAATGAAGACAGCCTAAGAGACCCCTGGGACAACATTAAATGCACCAACATTCACATTATAGGGGTTCCAGAGGAGAAGAGAGAGAGACAGGACCCAAGAAAATATATGAAGAGGTTATAGTGGAAAACTTCCCTAACATGGAAAAGGAAACACCCAGGTCCTGCAAGCGCAGAGAGTCCCAGGCAGGATAAACCAAAGGAGAAACACACTGAGACACACAGTAATCAAATTGACAAAGAAAAATTATTAAAAGCAAAAAGGGAAAAACAACAAATAACATACAAGGGGAGCTACCCTGGTGGCACAGTGGTTAAGAATCTGCCTGCCAATTCAGGGGACATGGGTTCAAGTCCTGGTCTAGGCAGATCCAACATGCTGTGGAGCAGCTAAGCCCATGTGCCACAACTACTGAGCCTGCACTCTAGAGCCCTCAAGCCACAACTACTGAGCCCTCATGCTACAATTACTGAAGCCCACATGCCTAGAGCCTGTGCTCTGCAAGAAGAGAAGCCACCACAAGGAGAAGCCCGCACACAATGAAGAGTAGTCCCTGCAGACTGCAACTAGAGAAAGCCCGCAGGCAGCAATGAAGACCCAATGCAGCCAAAAAAAAAACAAACAAAAAAAAACCACACAAGGGAACTCCCATAAGGTTCACAGCTGATTTCTCAACAGAAACTCTACAAGCCAGAAAGGAGTGGCAAGATATACTTAAAGTGAGTAAAGGGAAGAAACTACAACCAAGATTACTCTACCTAGCAAGGATCTCACTCAGATTAGATGGAGAAATCAAAAGCTTTACAGACAAGCAAAAGCTAAGAGAATTCAGCACCACCAGATCAGCTCTACAACAAATGCTAAAGGAACTTCTCTAAGAGGGAAGCATAGGAGAAGAAAAGGACCTATTAAGAAAATGGTAATAGGAACATACATATCAATAATTACCTTAAATGTGAGTGGACTAAATGCTCCAACCAAAAGACACAGATTGATTGAATGGATACAAAAACAAGACTAGTGTATATGCTGTCTACAAGAGATGCACTTCAGACCTAGGGACACATAGAGACTGAAAGTGAGGGGATGGGCAAAGATATTCCATGCAAATGAAAATCAAAAGAAAGCTGGAGTAGCAACACTTGTATCAGATCAAAAGACTTTAAAATGAAGAATGTTACAAGAGACAAGAAAGGACACTACATAATGATCAAGGGATCAATCCAAGAAGAAAATATAGCAATTATAAATATATAGGCACCCAACATAGAAGCACCTCAATACATAAGCAAATGCTAACGGCTATAAAAGAGGTAATTGACAGTAACACACTAATATTGGGGGACTTCAACATCACACATACACCAATGGACAAATAATCCAGACAAAAAATTAATAAGGAAACACAAGCTTTAAATGACACAATAGACCAGTTAGATTTAATTGATATTTATAGGACATTCCATCCAAAAACAACAGTATACACTTTCTTCTCAAGTGCATATGGAATATTGTCCAGGATAGATCACATCTTGGGTCACAAATCAAGTCTTGGTAAATTTAAGAAAATTGAAATCATATCAAGCATCTTTTCCTACCACAACACTATGAGATTAGAAATAAATTACAGGGAAAAAACATAAAAAACACAAACATATGGAGGCTAAACCATATGTTACTAAATAACCAAGAGATCACTGAAGAAATCAAAAAGGAAGTTAAAAAACACCTACAGATACATGACAATGAAAACACAATGATCCAAAACAGATGGGATGCAGCAGAAGCAGTTCTAACAGGGAAGTTTATAGCAATACAATCCTACCTCAAGAAACAAGAAACATCTCAAATAAACAATCTAACCTTACACCTAAAGGAACCAGAGAAAGAAGAACAAACAAAACCCAAAGTTAGTAGAAGGAAAGAAATCATAAAGATCAGAGCACAAATTAATGAAATAGAAACAAAGAAAACAATAGAAAAAATCAATAAAACTAATAGCTGGTTCTTTGAGAAGATGAACAAAATTGATAAACCTTTAGCCAGACTCATCAAGAAAAAGAGGGAGAAGACTCAAATCAATAAAATTAGAAACGAAAAAGGAGAAGTTACAACAGACACTGCAGAAATACAAAGCATCATCAAAGACTAGTACAAGCAAAAGTATATGCTAATAAAATGGACAACCTGGAAGAAATGGACAAATTCTTAGAAAAGCACAAACTTCTGAGACTGAACCAGGAAGAAACAGAAAATATGAACAGACCAATCAAAAGTAATGAAATTGAAACTGTGATTAAAAATCTTCCAACAATCAAAAGTCCAGGACCAGATGGCTTCACAGGTAAATACTATCATACATTTAGAAAAGAGCTAACACCCATCCTTCTCAAACTCCTCCAGGAAATTGCAGAGGAAGAAACACTCCCAAACTCATTCTACGAGGCCACCATCACTCTGATACCAAAACCAGACAAAGATACTACAAAAAAAGAAAATTACAGACCAATATCACTGACGAACATAGATGCAAAAATCCTCAACAAAATACTAGCAAACAGAATCCAACAACACATTAAAAGGATCATACACGGTGATCAAGTGGGATTTATCCCATGGATGCAAGGATTCTTCAATATACTCAAATCAATGTGATACACCATATTAATACACTGAAGAATAAAAACCATATGATCATCTCAATAGATGCAGAAAAAGCTTAAGACAAAATTCAACACCCATTATGATAAAAACTCTCCAGAAAATGGGCATAGAGGGAACCTACCTCAACATAATAAAGGCCATATATGACAAATCCACAGCAAACATCATTCCTGATGGTGAAAAACTGAAAGCATGTCCTCTAAGATCAGGAACAAGACAAGGATGTCCACTCTTGCCACTATTATTCAAGATAGTTTTGTAACTCCTAGCCATGGCAATCAGAGAAAAAAAAGAAATAAAAGGAATACATATCGGAAAAGAAGAAGTAAAACTGTCAGTGTTTGCAGAGGACATGATACTGTACATAGATAATCCTAAAAATACCACCAGAAAACAACTAGAGCTAATCAGTGAATTTGGTAAAGTTGCAGGGTACAAAATTAATGCACAGATCTCTTGCATTTCTACACACTAACAACGAAATATCAGAAAGAGAAATTAAGGAAACAATTGCATTCACCATTGCAACAAAAGGAAAATACCTAGGAATAAACCTACCTAAGGAGACAAAAGACCTGTATGCAGAAAACTATAAGACACTGATGAAAGAAATTAAAGATGATACAAACAGATGGAGAGATATACCATGTTCTTGGATTGGAAGAATCAACATTGTGACAATGACTATACTACCCAAAGCAGTCTACAGAGTCAATGTAATCCTTATCAAATTAGCAATGGCAATTTTTTACAGAACTAGAACAAAAACTCTTAAAATTTGTATGGAGATACAGAAGACCCCAAATAGCCAAAGCAATCTTGAGGGGAAAAAAACGTAGCTGGAGGAATCAGACTCCCTGACTTCAGACTACACTACAAAGCTACAGTAATCAAGACAATATGGTACTGGCACAAAAACAGAAACATAGATCAATGGAACAGGATAGAAAGCCCAGAGAGAAACCCATGCACCTATGGTCACCTAATCTCTGGCAAAGGAAGCATGGATATACAATGGAGAAAAGACAGTCTCTTCAATAAGTGGTGCTGGGAAAATTGGACAGCTACATGTAAAAGAATGAAATTAGAACACTCCCTAACACGATACACAAAAATAAAATCAAAATGGATTAAAGACCTAAATGTAAGACCGGACACTATAAAACTCTTAGAGGAAAACATAGGAAGAACACTCTGACATAAATCACAGGAAGATCTCTTTTGACCCACCTCCTAGAGTAATGGAAATAAATACAAAAATAAACAAATGGGACCTAATGAAACTTAAAAGCTTTTGCGCAGCAAAGGAAACTATAAACAAGACGAATAGACAACCCTCAGAATGGGAGAAAATATTTGCAAACGAATCAACGGACAAAGGATTAATCACCAAAATATATAAACAGCTCATGCAGTTCAATATTACAAAAACAAACAACCCAATCAAAATATGGTCAGAAGACCTAAATAGACATTTCTTCAAAGAAGATATACAGCATGCCAAGAGGCACATGAAAAGCTGCTCAACGTCACTACTTATTAGAGAAATGCAAATCAAAACTACAATAAGGTATCACGTCACACCGGTTAGAATGGGCATCATCAGAAAATCTACAAACAACAAATGCTGGAGAGGGTGTGGAGAAAAGGGAATCCTCTTGCACTGTTGGTGGGAATGTAAATTGATACAGCCACTATGGAGAACAGTAAGGAGGTTCCTTAAAAAACTAAAAATAGAATTACCATATGACCCAGCAATCCTACTACTGGGCATATACCCAGAGAAAACCATAATTCAAAAAGACACACACACCCCAATGTTCATTGTAGCACTATTTACAATAGCCAGGTCATGGAAGCAACCTAAATGCCCACCAACAGACGAATGGATAAAGAACATGTGGTACATATATACAATGGAATATTAGCCTTATAATGGAATGAAATTGGGTCATTTGTAGAGATGTGGATGGACCTAGAGACTGTCATACAGAGTGAAGTAAGTCAGAAAGAGAAAAACAAATATCATATATTAACACATATATGTGGAATCTAGAAAAATGGTACAGATGAACCGGTTTGCAAGGCAGAAATAGAGACACAGATGTAGAGAACAAACTTATGGACACCAATGGGGGGAAAGGGGGGTGATGAATTTGGAAACTGGGACAGTCATATATACACTAATATGTATAAAATAGATAACTAATAAGAATCTTCTGTATAAAAAATAATTTACAAAAACATAGACTAGATCACAATGTGGCTAATAGTATTTATTTCTTCACCTATAAATTCCACAAATAGATAAGAATGAGGGATATGAATATCATTTTTTAAAGATGGACAGTGAAAGTGGTTGTAAAAAGCATATGGCAAATGGAAAAATGCTGGAGTAGTATAATTGGCTGGGATGAACTTCCTATTTGAGCCATCTGAAAATGTGATATCCTATTCAGTAATTATGAGATAAAGGGACAGCTCTTCAAGAAACCACCATAGAAGAGGACTGCTAGCTAAAATTGCAGAACAAGCCGCCTGAAGGAGGGATTCTTTAGACAAATGTGCCAAATGTGTGTCAGTAAGGTAAAATTCTATCTACTAATGAGTACGCTAGCAAAACCTGATTTTTAATTTTTGACCCTAGTACTCAAGGCAATTTGAGACTCTGCTGTTCTGGAGCCTCCAAGACTAGAGTGCCAAAGCAGATACGTACAAAAACTGAGATACGCTGCACTGAGGACTCAATGAAGAGACGTCATAAAAAGTGTTAATTCTCTTTACTTCTGCAGCAGTCCTGGAATTGATTTTTTAATGTACATCTTACCTTATCCTAAAATGATTGTAAAATGGTTTATAAATCATACATCATACGATGATATTAGTTAAAGAAAAGAGGAAGAGAGGAAAGGGAAAATGAGGTTCAACCAGTTAGATGAACCCAGAGGAAAGCTTGAGATGAGACACACAACCATTTTGTTTTTCAATCCAGCAGAAATTCCTATAAATGATGAAATACCAGCTCCCATGGCAGAATAATTCAGTAGAGCTTTGCTTCTGGGAATATTTAATAAATTTAAAAACCAAAGAGACTTTAATTAAATGAATTATCTGTGTTAAGTAGAAAGGAACTAATTATAATAATTAATATTAATAGAAAGGGGTTCGGTACATAGGCAAATATGAATTATTATTATGTGTATATAGGGGATAGTCAATGTGAAAATTAAAAACAAGCTTATGTCATGTGGAAAATCTCCATATGAAATAACTTGCATATACTTTGAAGGGTTTATTATAATCTGGATGTCCACATTTTAGAATAACAAGTAATAATGTTTAGACATTTTCTATCTCAACACTGCCTCAGTTTCACTATCAATACAGCCACATATTTTTCATATGTCATATTGGCTATGAAACTGCATTCTAAAGGATAACATCTTCAAAAGCTACTTATTATGGTTATGGCTTATAATCATCACATGTAGGTCATATACATTTAGAGTCTAAGTTCCATTCTTTCACATAGCTCCAATACAAATAGACCTGCGTATTGGTATATACAACTAATGATTTTGATGAGAGTCTTCTTGCCTATTTGAAGTCAATAAGTTTTGTAATATCACTGCTCAGTTTTACCTTTAAAATGCTAATAAGCATGTCTGAGCATTCAACAGATACAGCAACTTAATCTACTAGACTTAAAATTACTCCACGCATGTGTGCTTAAGAGCATTCTAGAAACTAGGTGTCAACGGTAATAAATTCACTGAATGATGAAGTATTTTTTTAATTATAATTTATACCTATAAATATTGAATAGGAGTATGTAGTACATTTCTCTAAAGTGGGAATTAAACATGAAAGTATGTGTCAGGCTGGAATGAAGTGTTAATATAAGGGTACTTTTATGACATTTCAGCTGTGAGTAAAGGAAACTGACATGTCTCCAAGTTTCCAGCATGTAGCCTTGGTATCCAACTGTCACAGACATTGAAAATGCAAGGTGGTTATTGTTGCTATGACATTTTATATTTGTGTCATACTTCATAGGTTTCTAAAGAATTTTAAATATATGATCTTATCTTATTATTACAAAAACCCTGTGAGAGAGTACATAATAGACCCTAGATAGACCTAAAGCCTAGATTATTATTTTGACCATTTAAACCTGGCCAAATCCTTCCCTCACATATACCCTTTCCCCCACAGTACCCTTCCCTCACACCCACCCTCCCTCACAGTACCCTTCCCTCACACCCACCCTGCCCTCACACCTATCTCAGGCTTTATATCACATTGCCTCAGTCAGAAATAATACACTCCGTCAAAGCAACAGCAATAGAAAACAGCTTCAGAAGAAGCAGAGTACAGCTTCTCATATCACACAATTTTATAACCATATATTTTAAAATTTAGAATAAGATTACATAAAAGAGTAAAACAAAGGACTGCTAGAATTAAACAGTAAATTCTAAAAATAATAAAATATAGACATGCCCCTCTAAAAAAGCAATGGTTAATCTTTTCCATATATTGTTTCTTTTTTATATTTGCTAACAGTTGCAAAGTAAATTCTCCAAACTATTTCCTCACTCATATTTTTCAAGTAAAAAATAAATTAAAAAATCAGAATTCTCTCTGCCATGGAAGTCTCTCTTCTTCAGCCAAAATAATCAGAGGGAAAATAATTTCTTTTAACGTTTTACACTATTAGCAGGCCCTGCTCAGAATCTGTTTACAATATGTACTACTAAAATGACACAGTAAAATTAAAACATGGTTAGAAAAATAATGTTTTTGTCAGGTTGCAAAAGCTGATACTTACCAAAGGGGACAATTTTCGTCTTCTTGGAGATACCTCACTTTCCTTAGTTGCTTGTTGGCATAGCAAAGCTTTGAGTTGATTAACTGTGGAGCAAAAGCGATGGGTTTATTCACCTTATTTTAGATCCATGGTTTATTATCACCCATCTATCCATCCATCGATCTAACAAATATTGTTTAAATATGTATTATGCACCACAAAATGTGCTACTGACTGGGGACACAAAGACAAACAAGAAAACCTCTACCACTTAAGAGCTAAGAATCTTGCTTGTGAGCAAGAGGGATATAACTAACAGATATAAAATTATATAATAAGTTCTAGGTAGACCTAGAGCTAATGCATAGTGCTATGAAGAGGAAGCACATAATTGTTTTCACAGAGAAGACAATACGGTGAAGGATAAACAGGAGATTACCGAGCAGAAAAGGGTGAGAAAAAATCCAGTTAGAATGCGTGGCTCATGCAAAGCATAGAAGCATGGCCGTAGGTTGTTATGATTAGAACATGGCTTGAAAGATGGACAGTTGAAAGGAAAACAGAAAAATGAGGCTGGAGAGGCAGCTTGGATTCATCTTAAGGAAATACTGCTACGACATCCTATAGGCATTGAGAAGTCAAAGGAAAAAAAAATAAGCAAGGGAATTAGATTAGCTGATTTGTGTTTCTCGACTAAAATCCTAGCAGTAAAGGATAGACTGGAGTCATTACTGTACAAAGTTTAAATAATTCACTGTGTGTCATTCAGGTCAGGACTGACGTTCACACTCACCAGCATGGCTGTGTTGCAGTTCACGCCAGGCATTCCCAGCATCCTCATTTCCTACACTGGTACTAAAAGAAGGATCCATTACATCTTCTCCAATAGTGACATCACCTTCTCTCAGGGCACATTTCAATTGGTGAATGCTTCTACTGGCACGTTCTGTAACAATATGATGAAAATCAGGGCCAGTGAAATCTGGGCGACCAAAGGTACACTGACTCAAGAAGACAATTTCTAAAGGAAAAGCAATCATTTCTGATACTTCATGGGGAAAAAAGCATAGTTTTGTTTCTAGCTTGCTGAGGAACATGCCAGAGGAAGTAAGAGATTAAGTTCATGGGTTAGAAGTTAGACTTGATGATCTCTAAGGTCCCTGACACCTCAGTGATTGATATTCACTATATATAGCTCTATTGCTGAGGAGGAATGAATGGGAGAGCTTCTCCCCCCTCCACTCCTCCAAACAACAGCCTCACAGGGAAAGCACTGTCCTAACCCCTCAATGCCTAAGACTCCCCTACCCCTTCTGGAGAGGGGTGGGTGGGCAAAACTGGCAAAAGGGACACCACCACACCAAGTTCCTGCCCAAGGAGGCCTCCTTGTCCCTGTAGGCCAGATGTCCCTCTAGCAGCAAGAGACATATGACTACCTGGCCTAGTTTTGATCAAGATTTGAACAGCTGACGTGCTTATAGCGGCAGCCTCTCTAGTATAGTCGTACTTACGTACTGCTGGCTGACTACATCTTACATAGAAATTCTTGGTTAGTGCACCTGACTACCCCTAGAATTGAAGCTTAAACTCACTAGCACATACTTAACATAAATAGTCTAAAATGAAGTATTTTAAGGTATATTATTCTAGTAGTTCATCTCTAAAAATAGCCCCCAAAGGACCCAGCCTCACATTCTTGCCCTCTCCCAGGTTGAAACTCAGTGGGCCTGTAACCTGCACTAACCAAGAGAATGCAATGGAAGGCACACCACGCCAGACCAGTCACATCTTTAAAACATCTGGTAGCTTTTGCTTCTACCTTCTCGGAACTCTGGTTTTTGTAAACCCAAAGCCAAACAAAATAGGAAGTCTGGCTACCTTGCTGGTGAGATTGTGAAGAGGCCATGTGGAAAGGAAAGCCCCTGAGACCACCACAGGGAGAAGGAGAGAAGCCCAGCCCCACTAACAGCCCGGTGGAGTCTCCTGATGACTCCAGCACCAGAGGCCATCCACCTACAATGGCATGAAAGAAACCCCAAAACTGCCCAGCTTGAGTCCAATTAACCCACAGATCTGTGAGAGATACTACAAATGCTTTTCTTTGTTGCTTTCTGCCATCAAGCTTTAGAGTGTCTTGTTAAGCAGCAATAGATAACTGAAATAATTATTCAGTGAAATACGTACCCAAAAACATCTTCAGCAAAGGATCGAAGTCTTACATTAATAACAGAACTATACTAATATAGTAATATTATACTGTACTATATGTTAATACTATACTATAATATACTAATGACACTGGTGATGACATTACTAATAATTCTACCCCATTTTATGGATATTTTACATGTATGACAACTGGAGAACCAGGCAATCAATGGGTAATTTCATTAATTAAAGTCCAGTTACTTCTTCAGGTTTAAACTTGTTATTTCTGCTAATCTCTTATGACTAAATTCCCCAGTTCCAATCTAGAAAACATTAACTATAATAAAAAATGTTCCTTGTACATTAGAGCTGAAACCCAGATTTCACTCATCATTTTCAAGTTTTGACATCTGTATTTGAAAGTTATTTTTAATTCATAAATTTACCAAATATTTACATATATCTAACATAGAAATTTATGTTAGAAAAAGATGAATTCCCATGCAAGTTCATGTATAGCTACTATCTATTTCATATGGATTTTATCTAAATAATTCTTAAGATTTTCAGAGGAGATCTTTTTTTTGCGGTACGCGGGCCTCTCACTGTTGTGGCCTCTCCCGCTGTGGAGCACAGGCTCTGAACGTGCAGGCTCAGCGGCCATGGCTCACGGGCCCAGCCACTCCGCGGCATATGGGATCTTCCCGGACCAGGGCATGAACCCGTGTCCCCTGCATCGGCAGGCAGACTCTTAACCACTGCGCCACCAGGGAAGCCCAGAGGACATCTTTTTCTAAGTAAAAACTTTCCCTAATTCAGAGCAACACATAACAATGATGCCAATGAAGTTCTCTCTTTCTTCTGACCAAGGCCCTTCCTTGACAATTATATATATTTCGCCTTGTGTACTCAGGAGAAAAAGCTCCTATTCCTTGCTACCTACGTGGGAACCCTAAAAAAGCTATAAAACAGCTATCTTTTCATTACCAATCATGGATGGAAATATATTTATAAACATATATTCTACAGGACCTTGAAACATAGATTATACTTCCTCCAAGCCCATTAATTTAAGTTTGAAACCAGAAAAAACTAACCATAACTTAATAGAAAAAAATATTCTCTATCTTACAAAATCTCTAATATAGGTTCTTTGCTTACAGCAACTCAGTTTCTACCTTGATTAAACTAAAGAAAACAGGTCTTTTAGGTCAGGGTTCAACAGTGAAATTCTACAACTAACTACACAAGAGACCCAGGGAATTTACCACTACAATTTTCTCCACATCAATCCTGTTTCCACGCAGACCTTTCTCTGACTGGAATTTGGAATTGATAACTAACCAAGCCTGGTCTCCTTTTACTCCTCATGAGTTTAAAAAGTCCAGATAAGATGCATTCCTGGTTTTAATAAAATGAGAAGCAGCAAAAATAGTTTTTCAATAACTCAGTATTTTCTAAAGAGACTTGTTAAAAAGGAAAATCAAAGTGTTACTTGATAAGCAATTTAGTTCACACAGCATTAGACTTAATGCACTGAAATCTATGAATAAAGCACTTATCCTTACTGCATCCATTAAAAGGAAAGAGAGGGTTTGAATTACACTATAAGTGTGCTCTGTGGAGCCATCAAATGACTTCATCTATAAGACAAAGGATAATTATTTATTTATACCTAATCTGACTAAAAGTTAATAAGCGATATTAGGAAAAGGAAAGGAAATCTGAAAAAAATTGTGTAGTTGTAAATCCTTATAGGTAGACTTCTTTCATTAGCTTACAATGATGGCAGAGCTTTATGAGCGCATTTAATCCCTTTCCTAATATTGTTTAATCTTTTAGAATTTTTAACATTCAAAGACCATGTGTTAAATTGCACTATGAAAATAGTATTATGTGAAATAGTAATATATTGAACTCAACAACCATCCCAAAGAAAAGTGATTACACAAGGTTAGGGGTTTTTTGCAACGAGTGACTTTAGTTGTTAGTATCAGAGATGAAGACAAGGAATTTCTAAGAACTGTGTCTTAAAACTAAAACTAAGGAGGTAAGTGATATTTTAAAGTCATTTCAATACTACATTTCAAAACATGCTAAATGTTTTTTCAAATATATACATACTAACATAATTATACACTGCAACAAACAGTTAATCCTGAGGAATAACAACACTCAGATCTTTCAAGACAGATAAAACCCCACTTCTCTTCAACTGGAGCCACTGCAACTGAAGGCCCCATAATCCTTATTAAGAACACTGCTCCCCAGATGCAGTTATCTGCTGCTTTCATGTAAGGAAACCAGATTAGACAGGAGGTTCCAGTTGTGGTTTCCTATCCCACTGTTAATGGGCACAGCTTTATCTGTCTATAAATGAGAGATGGAAAGAATACTCATTTCCTCTTCTCTCCTGAGAGGACAGTAAGAGATTTCACAATACATCCTGGTTTCTTCTCTCCAGCACCAACTATGGGCTGAATATAAACTTAATTATGTTCTGCTAATTTTGGGGGTTTTTTGTTCTTCTTTCTCTAATGGCTTTAGGTGTAAGGTTAGGTTGTTTATTTGAGATTTTTCTTGTTTCTTGAGGTAGGACTGTACTGCTATAAACTTCCCTCTTAAAACTGCTTTTGCTGCATCCCATAGGTTTTGGTTTGTTTTGGGTTTTGTTTTCATTGTCATTTGTTTCCAGGTATTTTTTATTTCCTCTTTGATTTCTTCTAGTAGCGTATTGTTTAGCCTCCATGTGTTTGTATTTTTTACAGTTTTTTTTTCCTGTAATTGATATCTAGTCTCATAGCATTGTGGTTGGAAAAGATACTTGATATGATTTAAATTTTCTTAAATTTACCAAGGCATAATTTGTGACCCAAGATATGATCTATCCTGGAGAATGTTCCATGAGCACTTGAGAAGAAAGTACATTCTGTTGTTTTGGATGGAATGTCCTATAAACTACCAATGGCATTTTTCACAGAAGTAGAACAAAAAATTTCACAATTTGTACGGAAACACGAAAGACCCCGAAGAGCCAGAGCAATCTTGAGAAAGAAAAACAGAGCTGGAGGAATCAGGCTCCCTGACTTCAGACTATGCTACAAAGCTACAGTAATCAAGACAGTATGGTACTGGCACAAAAACAGAAATATAGATCAATGGAACAGGATAGAAAGCCCAGAGATAAGCCCACGCACATATAGTCACCTTATTTTTGATAAAGGAGGCAAGAATATACAATGGAGATAAGACAACCTCTTCAATAAGTGGCACTGGGAAAACTGGACAGCTACATGTAAAAGAATGAAATTAGAACACTCCTTAACACTGTATACAAAAATAAACTCAAAATGGATTAAAGACCTAAACGCAAGGCCAGACACTATAAAACTCTTAGAGGAAAACATAGGCAGAACACTCTATGACATAAATCACAGCAAGATCCTTTTTGACCCACTTCCTAGAGAAATGGAAATAAAAACAAAAATAAACAAATGGGACCTAATGAAACCTAAAAGCTTTTGCACAGCAAAGGAAACCATAAAGAAGACGAAAAGACAACTCTCAGAATGGGAGAAAATATTTGTAAATGAAGCAACTGACAAAGGATTAATCACCAAAATACACACGCAGCTCATGCAGCTCAATATCAAAAAAAAAACCCATCCAAATATGGGCAGAAGACCTAAATAGACATTTCTCCAAAGAAGATATAAAGATTGCCAACAAACACAGGAAAGGATGCTCAACATCACTAGTCATCAGAGAAATGTAAATCAAAACTACAATGAGGTATCA